AAAATTATCGCGCTAAATATTGTCTGAAGTAGGTTGGAATACTAAGCAACACACATTCTTTCAAGTCCATTTCATTGGTTTGTATTATATCCCATAACTGAGGATATTATCACAGTCTTAGTGTATTGGTCAGTGGTACACCGTTAGGTATGACATTGGGAAAATATGAGCATTGATTTACCACACCACGAAAACTTGTGTCAAAATGCATAATTCCCAATTATATAGTTGTCGCTTAATATTCTAAATATATGCAGTGAATACCAGAAACGCGGTAACTATATTGAATTTATGGTCCTTTAGTTCTACTGGATACCACACGCATTCGTCTATGTATAGACTGAATGTATAACCTATCAATATATAAGTTGCACGAACTCTCATGGAAATATATTTTTTGTGTCGTACATTGCATCTCATTCACTGATCGTTTGCATGTCCGTCTAGGCACCTTCTCACATGGTCGACTATAGGTTGTCTATTGTGTCTTGCAGGTCTTATATATATACAGTTAACAAATATGACTCGTATATATTTCTTAATTTCTGAATTATTGCAACGAATCGACTAGAACGCGATAGTTTTACTCTCTCAATTATTTCCGCAACATTTCGTTGCTTTTAATTGCTAAAATTAAAAATAATATACTGTGTTGTATATTCTACCACACATTATTACCCCCTCCAAAACACTAAGGCCTGGTTTATACGTCGAATTTCCGTCGAATTTAATTCGTCGCATTTAATTCGTTGAATTAAATGCGACGGAGACCCGTCGTCTAAATTGGTTATCTTCGACGCGACACATTAAATTCGACAGTGTCGAATTTTGCGACTGGCTTCGTCGCATAATTCGACGGAAATGCGACGTCGTTTTAGACGTCGAATTTCCGTCGCGTCGAACAGAATGCATAAATTACCATCATTTATATAATAAATATTTTATCCATAATTATCCTTGTGTATCCCAAACATTAAGCCGAAAAGATGGCGGGAGAACAGCTTTGTGGCGGCGGCTGTGGCTCGAAAACAAAATATCGTTGTATAACTTGTAACATTTATGTTTGTAATCGCCCACTGTGCGGGGTTGCTGAAGAAAACGAAAATGCCGAGGGCTGGATGGAAAATTCCAGCGTCTCCTATTGCAATGAATGCTTTTTCAGAACGCCGGGTCTGGCGAAAGAACCTGAGCGTCCTCCCATCGTGGCAGACGGCCTACGTGAACAAGAGCACGAGAACAGTGAAGACGAAGAAGACGAGGAAGACGACTACGAACTGTCAGATTTGAAAAATAAGAAGAAAAAGAAAAATACCGGACGAAGATCGTTGTGGGACGCCGATTACATCGACGATATGGTTGACATTATTGCAAACAGTGAAAATTTTAAGAAAAAACTTATATTCACGAACAACAAGAAGGCGACGAATAGCGAGGTTTACAAGCTTGTTTTAAAAGAGATCAAGAAACGACACCCCTCTTTCTCTTTCACCATCCAACAAATGAGAAACAAATTCAAGTGGTGTGTAAGCATGTGCAAGAAAGTAGCTCTAACCATACAAACAGCTACAGGCATCAAAAGATTTGTGGAGGAAAAAGGATTCAGCAAGTGGTTTGATCTCCTGTTCCCATTGATCAAAAGCAGGGATTCTTGCCAACCAGAGCGAGCGATTGAACCATCAACCAGCAGACCAAGCAGTTCCGCTTCCTGTTCCAGTTCAAGTGGAACCAGCAGAGTCTCTTCAGGCACACCAACTGATGAGGTGGAAAATGATGAAGAAAAAGAAGAGGAGGCCACAGAAAAAATGTTTGTCCCAATTAGGAAAAAAAGAAAAAATAATGAAGCAGAAACAATTGGAAAAATGCTGAAAATAATGGAAACAATGGTTGAGAATGATCCAACAAAAGATCTCTTAAAATTTATGAAAGAGGATGCAGAGAGGTCACGGCAGACCGAACAGGAGCTGTTTAGGCTGTTAACAATACAATGTCAACCACCTCCTTTACAGCATGTGCCACAGCCAGCATTTGTGCCCCAGAATCAGTACTACCAAGGTTCACCACAACAATGCTGGGGGCAAGCACAACAATTTTCTCCACAAACCACCCCTGAAAGAATCAACACACGCCATGCACCTGCATTTCAGGAAGCAACAAAGACATATACAACACTTTAGGTAAACTTCTTCTAGGACTCATAAGACCATATGATATCTTCTGTATATGTTACTAGCTTGTTATTTTAAATTGTGTTGTGCATAAAAAAAAACATTTGATTTTTGGAACAGGGTAATTGATGGTAAATTGTTATAATGGCATGAATAGTTACTAACAATACTACACTAAAAAAAATTTCCCACATATAAATTCTGTGGAATGATATCAGAATTGTATTAATATAATTGCTTTGTGTTAAGCCTCATTTACATGAACAAGCTTTATTTGACAACTTTTATTTGACAACTTTTCTTTGACAAGTTTATAGGTTCCAAAGCTGGCATGCCAGTTTTTCAACAAGTACACTTGTCAATGAAAATTTTGTCATTTTTTTCTAATTTACACCAGCAAATAAAAATTGTCAAAGTGGAACTTGCCAAATAAAACTTATTTGTGTAAATGAGGCTTTAGAATTGCACTAGAATTGCAGTCAACACAGGTTCATCATTTTTGCAACCATATCTGGTCAGGTATCACACACAATCTCACTTGGATTATTTACCTTGATAAAGTTTAACAGTAATAAAGTTTTTCTATCACCAATATACTATTTTACAACTATCATTCACACATATCGAAGAAGTTAAAAAATGTCAGCACACTCCATGTCCTTGTTTTTCCTTCCAAACCTTTTCTTTTAATGCTGCCCGTATTTTGCCAGCTTGGACAGAGGTATCCTTGACTCTTGCACAGCTACGCATATTCAATAGCTGACGCACAGTTTCCCTATCCCGCCGTCCACTTATGTTATTGCTCAAATCTAGTTGCATTGGTAAGGCTTCATCACATTCAATACAAATATTGTGGAGTACAATACATGCTAATGTTATTGCTTTCATTGTGTCCTCATTACATTCACTTTTTCTGTGCAATACTCTAAATCTCCCTTTTAGTTGACCATATGCACATTCAGTAACCATCCTTGCACGAGACAAGCGGTAATTAAAGTACCTTTCTTCTGGAGTAAGAATTGCACAGGTATATGGCTTCATTAGCCAGGTAGAAAATGGAAATGCAGAATCTGCAACCACTAATGGGCCAACTTCGACATTACCAATCTTTTTTGAAATTGTAGGAATCAAATCATTTTCATTAATGTCTTTCCACAGTTGGGTGGCCTGCAATATCATAGAGTCATGGGTATTTCCCGGGAAACCAGCACTGGCCCATATAAAACGATATTTCGCATCTATGAGACCCATTAGCACTATGGAATAAAAATTTTTAAAGTTATGATATTCTTTGGCAGCTTCACCACCTCCAGCAGGACATTTTATTGAAATGTGGCATCCATCAATTGCTGCCCAACAGCAAGGAAATTGCCATCTTTCTTCCATATCAATTATTTTTTCCTGCACCTGTTCTTCAGATGTGGGAAAATGGGCAGAAACAGAGGAGGACCAAAGGTTAATGACAATTGCTTCACAAACCTCGTTCACTATGCCTTGTATCGTGGCAGTACCAAGACCAGACATCTCCGAAAGCGTGTAGTAATAATCGCCACGTGCTAATCTATACAAGCAAATGGCAAGTCGACATTCCGGTGATACTGGTTCTTCTGTTGTTGCAGGTTTCACTAAATTCCTTATTATTTTGTCAAGAATCATAAGAAAAGTTGTTCGTGATAACCGGAAGGTATTCTTGAATCGTTTGTCGGAATATT